TTAGGGTTTTGGGTCCAGGGTTAGGTTAGGGTTTTTTGTCTAGGGTTAGGTTAGGGTTTTGGGGTTAGGGTTAGGTTAGGGTTTTGGGTTTAGGGTTAGGTTAGGGTTTTGGGTCTAGGGTTAGGGTTAGGGTTAGGCTAGGATATTGGGTTCATTGTTACGTTAGGGTTTTGGGTTCAGGGTTAGCTTAGGGTTTTGGGTCCCGGGTTAGGTTAGGGTTTTGGGTCCAGGGTTAGGGTAGGTTGGGTTTTGGGTCCAGGGTTAGGTTAGGGATTTAGGTCCAGGGTTAGGTTAGGGTTTTGGGTCCATGGTTAGGTTAGGGTTTTGTGTTCAGGGTTAGGTTAGGGTTTTGGATTCATGGTTAGGTTAGGGGTTTGGGTCCAAGGCTAGGTTAGGGTTTTGGGTTCAGGGTTGGGTTAGGGTTTTGGGTCAAGGGTTAGGTTAGGGTTTTGGGTTCAGGGTTAGGTTAGGGTTTTGGGTCCAGGGTTAGGTTAGGGTTTTTTGTCTAGGGTTAGGTTAGGGTTTTGGGGTTAGGGTTAGGTTAGGGTTTTGTGTCCAGGGTTAGGTTAGGGTTTTGGGTTCAGGGTTAGCTTAGAGTTTTGGGTCCAGGGTTAGGTTAGGGTTTTGGGTCCAGGGTTAGGTTAGGATTTTGGGTTCAGGGTTAGATTAGGGTCTTGGGTCCAGTGTTAGGTTAGGGTTTTGGGTCCAGGGTTAGGGTTTTGGGTTCAGGGTTAGGGTTTTGGGTCTAGGGTTAGGTTAGGATATTGGGTTCATTGTTAGGTTAGGGTTTTGGGTTCAGGGTTAGGGTTTTAGGTCCAGGGTTAGGTTAGGGTTTTGGGTTCAGGGTTAGGTTAGGGTTTTGGGTTCAGAGTTAGGTTAGGGTTAGGGTTAGGGGGGGGGGACACATTTGTTGTCCACATAGGACATCAGTGATAATGCTCCGCAGAGCCGGCACCAATATATCTGTTTTCTCTTAGAAGGCGTTAGGTTCTGTTCTCGGCCTCACGACGTCTCCCGTTTCCTTTGTCTTCACAGCTGACAATCATCTTCAAGAACATGAAGCAATGCATCGACCAGAAGGTCTACCAGGCCGAGGTCGGCAACGTGCCGGCTGCGTTTGACGACGGCTCCATGAACGGGGGGCGGCGGGCGGGTGGAAGCAGCCTGACCATCCACGAGCGGGAGCCGGGCCAATACATCGAGATCCAGGCGGCGTATATCGGCACCACCATCCGCGTACGACAGCTGGACCGCCAGTTGTCCTTCTCCATGCGCATGGCTGAGGAGATCTCGCAGGCCTTCCCAGAGGAGCAAGACCTGCAGCTGTGCGTCGGCGGCTGTCCATCCGGCCAATGGATCTCCGGGACCGAGGAGCTCGGCGGGGGGGCGGGCGCGGGGCCGGAGGGGGCCCG